ATGTACGAGGAAAGTCTTAAAATATAATTTAATATTAAATCATAGTAATTTTAGCATTGCATCCTATTGAGAAAATAAACTTATTCTTTTAAAAGAGCTGAATTTATAATATGGAAATCAAACATTTTTAACAAATTTAATATATACAATTTTATTTTGTAATTTTATAATTATTTCTGATAATTATTTTTTTTAATTATGATAGTCAAAGTAAATGTGTGGTTTAGGAGCAAACCGTCAAGAGGCCTACGCTTTTGGGTACCTAAGAGAAATATTTGTGTACTGATCAAAAATTTACACTTACGGTTGGTTTACCTAAATTTCCGTTCGGATGCGACATTAAATTGGAATTTCCTTTTACTCGTGTGCCACTTTATCACACAAAGCACAAATAGTTGTAGGGGGGTCACTTACGATTTCGAATACGGCATATTAGGCAGTATTTAAAACTTAAGATAGCAAACTAATTTAATGTAGTGCGTGCCAGTTTAGATAACTTTGATCGTGCTCTAATTAAGTCCCTTCTTTGCCTGATTTTGGCCTTCCACGCCCTTTACTTTTACGAATACCAAAAATATTTGATTACAGAAGTTACCTCCAAAAGCGTACCTATATGGACGACTATGGCTAGTCTAAGACTTGATGTTTTTAGTGAAAGAACATTTAGAATTTTCATAGCAAGTTCTGGTAAATGCGAGACCATTCGAGAAATTCCATCATTCTATACGTTTGCTGTTATAGTTAGTTTATAATTGATGTTTTATTAGTTGTCAAAGTAAATTAGAAAATAAGTGTTGTATCAAGTAAATCAAGTTGTAAATAAATAAGTAAATATAGTGTACATAAACTGAAAATAAACTGTTAAATAAACGAACGTTACATTGGTGTCAGAAGTTGAATAATGTAAATAAATAGTGGGCAAAAAGTGCGAAAAATCTGTGTGATTTAAAAATGACCGAATTGCTTTGGAAACTGGAAGATCATGAACTAAAGACGACACGAAAGAAACTAGAGTTGGTAGAGCGGCTTAAACAAGCAATAAAAAGAAAGGAATTAGATCGAGAAACGTATATATTTTCGAATAATACGTGTTATGTTATGTTGAGAATGGGGTGTTAATGCACTGCAACCTAAAAGATCTATTGTGCCAATGCACTAAGGAAATGTCTCAATGCCTATAACGACCCTTCCAATCCTATTTTCTCAAGAAAGTGTAGGATTTGAAGTGGCTTCAAGTTAGGTAAATCTCCCTCTTCTATTTGATATCCTCCTAGATATAGTGCCCTTGGATTCTGGAGTGCTACACATTCAGTTAGGATGTGAATGGAGGTTTCGTCCTCCTCCTCAAAGAATCTGCACTCACTATCCTCTACTATATTCTCAGTTTACTTAGGTGTCCTTTTAGTCGGCAATGCCCTGTAAGGATCCCTGTTACAATACGTAGCCTGTTCTTGCTTAGGCAAATGCAGGCTTCCGATCTTTTTTGGTTATATTCACATAGAAGTATCTTGGCCTGTCTCAGCCCCAAGAGATTTTTCCAATTATCGGTTCTTGTACTGCCCAATTCTTTTTTAAGCTCTCCTAATATTAAGTTACTGCTGATACCGCAGAATGGCTCAGGTCGTTCAAAGGGTGTTTGAGCCTCTTTCCTTGCAAGACTATCCGCAATCTCGTTACCCTGTAACCCGTTATGTCCCGGGACCCAAGTGAGAGTAACTCTATTTTTCTCGCCTAGCTCATTCAATTATTCTAGGCATTTCCAGACCATTTTTGAGCTGATTACGTAAGAGCTCAGCGCTTTGATGGCTGCTTGACTATCGGACATGATGATAATATCTTGTCTATGATAGTTTTTCTCGATGTTAAACTGGATACACTTCTCGATGGCGTGAATTTCCGCCTGGAAGATGCTTGGGTACTTTCCTAAGCTTTCGGAGTGCTTGGTTCTCGGCCCATACACTCCTATTCCAGTTTCTTTTATTGTTTTGGAACCATCCGTATACTACTGAATAGCACGTCTTTCGGTTGCAAGCACAATGGATTCTTGGCTCCATTCTTTCTTGCAGCCCAGCTCTGTGGTTTTGAAGTTTTTTACAAAACTGTATATCTACTGCTAGTTTCTTCAATATTTTCCGATTTGGAAAATCAATTATTTTCTTTGAACAATTAATTTTCTTCTAATATGACTTTTATTAAAACTGGCATTACTGCTGATGTTTCTTCTATAATAAAAAACGATATATTTTTTAAATAATAAAGTTTCTTTCTTAAAAAAGTTTTAATCTGATTTTTCTAGCTTGGAAAGTAAAATGTAAATTTTTTTCTGTTGAGGAGAAAATAAATGAGATGAGAACAACATAGAGAAAGTTGTTGAAAATAAAGATGAAGCTAAGGATGATGAAATAAAGGTGGAGTTAAAACTGATATAGAACGAATTGTAACTTCTGCTCGTGTTACCCCAACTTTCGATGGAAAGATGTCATGGGCCCACTACTTAAAACAGTTTGAAACAACTGTGAGAGTAAAAGAATGGCTAGAAAGAGAAAAGACAGTAAATCTGACCATCAACCTTCAGGGAGATGCTTTAGATATTTTCCAGACGATACCTGTGGAAGAGACGGATGACTTTTATCAACTTAAAAAGCAGAAAATAAACATGCTATATAACCACGAAGCCTTCCCAAGTAGCATTATAGTGACAGAAACTTATATCGCCACTTCGATTAAGTGACTATTACGTTAAAATCACTAAATGTACCCCTATATAGTGAAAATAACTTCATTTTATATTTTCCCAGTTGTAACCAAGTGTATTTCACCAATAGGAATCACTTCGAAGTTTTATATTATTTACTTGCCTCTGAAGGTGTTTGAAACGTTATAGCCACTAAGCGGAACCACTTTAAAGTTGCACAAACTTGAATGTGGAAAATAGTACGGCCACCAAATCATATCACTTAAATACCACCTAGAAGTGGCAGTAATCTTAAAGCGGGTTTGATAGTTTTAGTAACGTTTCGGGAACCATAAGTATATCTTTAAAGTGGCGGCACTTGATTGTATAACTGCAGTAGTTCTTGCCACGTTTTCGCCGCGCTCTTATGTGATTTCCATATATTGCGTGGAACAAAGGCCACTTTAAAGTTATTATTACCTTCAAAATTCACAATGAAGTAACCGTTGCCTATTAGTGGCCTGCTTTCTACATTGTCCGCCTTTACAATAAAGAAAAAACTACCAAAATGTCGTCGATCTGTGCGCAAATTAATTTGTTTTTAGACTTATCTAGAGTGCATTTTTGTGTAAAATGGGAAACAACAAGAAGCCTCGCAAAAAGATTACTTTTCGACATTTGACAACTTTTTATAGACGTTATTACTCTGTAGTGAACAAACAGCTGTTGTCGGAACAGAAAAAAAGTAAAAATTCTCAAAAGTTATTTTCTTATTGGATATCGCCTCAACGTTTCTCGTTGTGAAAAATTTAAATGGCCTGGCCAAAATAAGATTCCCACGGGAACAACGCAGACACAAACACCCCTCTTTTCTTGAGTCGTTACAATTTTAAAGCTCATATCTAAATCTAAGTTGTGCACACAAACACAATATAAGATATGAAATAAATTTAAGTGATCTGTGACGTAAACAAATTTAACCGGCGAAATCTACTGTAAATTTTGAGGTTATAATACAGTGTTGCGCTTTCATCAGAATGCAATTTCCCTGAGAAGATATATTGTACAAATTTTTCCCATAATCTTCTTGAATGTACACTATATTTGTACAGGGTGTTCAGTTATTTTAAATACAATGGACGTGTCATGAGTTCGATACCTGCTCTGGTCAAGTGATTTTTATTAAAAAATAAATGGTTGCGAAAATTATAAATAAATTATTAATATTATAAAATAGTGTGTGTTGAGTTGCAGTTGTGTAAAAAAAGTAGGGATATGGTCTCAATGGAAAATATATAATCCAGGAATGGACGTTTGTTGAATGTTCAGTATTGAACGTCCAAATATAATCCAGAATTAGACGTCCTATGAACGGTTAAAAGTGTGCCATTTGTATACTTCACTGTACGTCCATTGGACGTCGGAAGTCCAGAAGAAACTCATGGACCTATTTGTGCTGCCTGGGTAGTGACTTAAGGTATTAGAGCATTACCGGACTGATCGAAAATGACTCGCACGATCTTAAAATATCTTCTTCTAGCTTTGATTATTAATAAAGTAACTTCAACTCGTAACTTAAAGTAAAAAGAAGGGAAACAATAGTCGTTTAAATTTCTATTGATTTTGTAATTACTTTAAAATAAATAAAAATATGGTTTACGATGATATGACCGCGGTCTCTAAAATTTCAATCAGTTTAAGATGGCACCAATATTTTAATCGGTAAAAGAAGAAATTCAGCCATATTTGGCCTAGCTGAGCTCTTCAATTAGACGACAATTTTATACTTTCTAGTCATAAGCTACACAAAATACTGGACAATTTAGGTACACCTAGCGATAAATGCATTATGTCATCGTACATTCGCTACATATTCAAATGATTCTGGTACTCGATGACGTAAGTTCTTTGGCGGTTGGCTCTTGTACTATTCTAAAGAATATCTTCAGTTATAAATGTTCTACATAATTATCATGGGTAAGAAAATATCTATCTAGTATAGAACAAATTTTAAAAAAAATCCATTTGGCGCATTATTTATAATTTGGTAAAAAAAAAGAGATTAAAAAGGGAGTAATTAACCAATCAATAGCTATTCTAAATCTTCTTATACTTCATATTAAATATTTCGATCACTCAGATAATAAAATGAAAATAGTCTTAAAATTATATTTTTTTGTACACATCATATTTATAAGCAACAAAAACGAATTTTTATTAAAGAAAGCTGTAGAAAAAATTACGTATTATTTTTAAAAATAAAATTTCAGCAAGCGGCGGACATATTCATAAACAAGCATTTTACAATATTTAATCAAATACATACTTGGGGCATTGTCATATGCGGAGGCGTAGACTGTTGTCCCGATTTTTCACTTCCTTGAAGATGTCCCACCAACGCTGCGATATGGTCGAGAAGTTCTCGATTATGTATCAAAAGCTGATGCGTTCTGGCTTGTGCTTCCAGTCTTGCAGCCTTTAAAATTAAAAAATATATAATTTCAATAAAAATTTGATCATTTGCGGTGTATAATGCAAGTTTAAATCAATAAGGTACGGCAATTATTAATTATTTGTAAACGTATATAGGGTAGCCATACGAATACATACCAGAGCCATTATCAGGAACAGCGTCAACATTTTAGACAAATACTTTTGCTCAATTTTATATAAAAAGAGGATTTATATTTATATCATATAATCAACCCTCATAAGTCATTCTATTGACCTCCTTCAACAGATTCAATTTAAATATGGAAAATACCAAGTTCGAGACATCATTGAAAAGGTAATTTTATGGATTCAATAGTAATTAAAATTAAATATTATATAATAATATTATATATAATAATATAACTGTCCCTAATTCACCCCTTTAGGGATTCGGCTATCCTGAGAATGAAAATCACACGAAACCTTTTCGTAAGTAATAAAAAATTGAGTAACAGTTGATGGTGAAAGCGATGCTGTGTTTTGGTGATGCAACAAACCAATTATTATCACCTTGAATATATAAAAAAAAAAACTACATCGTCTTGATTTAAAACTTTAACATCCTAGCCTTCGTTGGTCATGATTCTCCTTCCCCATGCACTCACTGCTCTTTCTTTTTGTTTCTGAGACATATTGGATGACTCATAATAACATTTTCGTCAGTTTTTCGCCCAATTCCAATAAAACATTTATGTTGATACGTAAATAATTCTTTGTATGTGTCACTCATTTTATCCAATAACTAGCGGGTATCGGATACGCCAATCTTTAATATTTATACTTCGAAAGGTAATCGACATGAATCATACAATACAAAACTTTTAATATTGTCTCGTTGTTTAATAGCTGTACCTCGTATTGAAACTCTTTCACCTTCATTATTATGCAACTGCAACAAATTATTAGAGAGAATGGTGCCAAACAACTCATTAAAAACATTCAAATATCATCACAAGCAGCGATAAGAAAATCAAGTATTAGAATGAAAACAAAATAAATATAATTCATTTCACAATTTATTTTGCAATAGTTACATTTACTTTAGCAACTGTTTTGAGTCCTCAAAATATTCCCATGAAATCAAGAAGTCAAATTAGGTAAAATTTTGATACCCTTTGATACTGATATGCGAATGTTCTTTGTTTGATTTCTATCTTAAGAATTGAGAAATTATAGCTAAACGAGATTTTTGGACATTAATATTGATTTTTCTCTAAAATACGAGCCCAACATCCATGGACTCGGTACCGACGGCTTTATATCTCCTCCGAAAGAAGACACATCTCACGCTATACCTGGTACTCATTGGGTCCCGAACAATTGTTCGAAAACAAAAGATCGAAAATGCAAAATATCGAATATTAAATGATCGAAAAGAAAGTGATCGAAATAACAAATTATCGAATTATAAATGATCGAATATCAAGTAATCGAAAATTATTTATTCAAAAACAAATTTAGATGCATCATCTAAAGTTTCGCTCAGATAATTTAATTGTAAATATATTTGTTTGACAAATTTGGTCATATTTTACTGTCATTACACCTTTTATTAAATTAGCATGTATTTGCCATATTTGACACCATTATTCCAGTTATGTAGTATAGTCTAGTTTAGTAAACGCAAAACTTATTTAATTTTTCAACTAATTGGTATTTCCATGGTTTCTAAGCAAAACTAATTTAATTTTTTACAACTAATTGGTATTTCCATGGTTCCTAAGCTGTTTTTGATAGAATTAAATAGAATGTTAATTGTACGTTCACAGAAAGATAGACAATGTTCTATTTAGATGGATATTTTTATACAAAGGATAAAACATCGAACTAACTACTTATTGGAAGTGTGAAAATTGGAGACAACGCTGCAACGGTCGTTTAGTTTGTAAAAATGAAAAAACTCCTCAAAAACGAAATTACCATAATCATGAACTTCCCCATTCGATAATAATTATTACTGTAACTGCTATCTCCAGCTACAATTTCCAGTATGAAGAGAAGTATTAAAACAATTAGAGAAAAGAAATACAATTTTCTCAACAACTCTGTTAGTATTAAGGAATTATGTTTACCTAAAGATTTTAAAGTTACAGAAGAAGAGCAGAAATTTTTACAATATGATTCTGGTAATAAAGATAACTGTAGACTTATAATTTTTGGAACTGAAGCTAATATACGAATTCTTTCTGAATGTAACCATTGGCTTATGGATGGAACATTTAAAACAGTACCTAATATTATATTTTATCAACTATACACCATTCACGGTAATGTTAGTAATATTTTTGTCCCATTAGTGAACATAGTAGTGTCAGATAAGACTGAAAATACGTATTTAAAAATGTTTAAGGAACTCTTACAAATTCTACCATAGGATGAAAGTAAATAAAATTATTAACTGATTATGAAATAGTTATAATAAATGCGGTTAAAAAGCTGTTCCCGAATATGCAACTTGTTGGTTGTTACTTCCATTTTAGTCAAAGTTTATGTAGAAGAGTACAAAGTACGGGACTAAAAGCTAAATACGATACAGGTGTGCAGTTTGCATATGCCATAAAGCTTCTGAATGCAGTGGCTTTTATTCCAGTCAATTTCGTTTCGAAAGTATTTGAAGTGATATTGTAAAACAATTTATTGCCAGCCGATTTACAAAACTTTGTCAACTATTTCGAAGATACATGGGTTGGAAAAATGGAAAGAAAACAACGCTTATCACCAATGTTTGAACATAGTTTATGGAATTTTTACCATAACATAAAAAATAAAATTTCTGTAACAAATAATAGCTTCGAAGCATGACACCAGGGATTTTTAACGCAAATTAATGCAGAGAAGCCTTCTATTTGGTGTTTTTTAAAAGGAATAATTAAAGAAAAGGGCATGACTGAACTCAGAATATTAAAGAAAACTACAGCCAATGATCTAGAAAAAACAAGAATTACAAGGATACATGTCAGCGTCTTAAAAATGTTATTGAAACATAAAGTGAACAATTGGAACAGTATACAAGAAATATTCCTAATTTTTTAATTTAAATAGTTATATATTAATATTTATAAAATTGTGCATTATTTATAGTTTCCATTTATAACTAAGTACGTGTGTTAAATTTAAAATAAATATTTTTAGATCTTTTCATTCGAAAATTTTATACATTTATGAAATGGTTTTATATAATTATTTTTGATATTATTGCTTTTCTATCATTTACCTTTTCTATCATTTGCTATTTCGATTTCTAGCGTTTCGATCAATTGATATTTCGATCTCTTGCTTTTCGGTTAATTGATATTCGACCTTTTGTCATTTCGATATTTTGAAATTCGATCAAAATGTTTTCAAACAAATGCTATTCGAACAAAAACATTCGATCAAATGTATTCGAACAATTGTCCAGGACCCGTACTTATTTATAGAGGGTCTGCCAGCTGTGGTATGCAACTATGCCAGCTTTTATAGGTACTTCGACTTTCCTTGGATAGTTAGTTACACATCCAAGTACTAACTGCGGGCGACCCTGCTTGACTGCAGATATCGATAAACAATAGTGAACCTGCCAAGCCGAGCCGCTGTGCTAGAAGATTTATTGTATAAGTAGCTATATTCAATATATGATTTTATATAAGGGTTAAAAATTTTGTTTTTTCCACATTTAGACAAAATAGTTGGCGTCGCTCCATGCTTTGATTTTCTTAATGTCACAAAATAGTGTTGTAAATAACGCAGGGGTCATTGCTGTGCAATAAAACCGTAGTGTCATCAGCAAATAGAGTGAAAGTACTTGCAATCTTAAGTTGTGTTAATTATTTATACACTGTGTTCTATAAAGTTGAGCCCATATGGGATTTTTTTAATATTACGATTTGAAAAACTTCCTAGTGCAATTGCCTCTGCTCATTTAAAAATAGTCCATATCAAAGCTGGCTAATGTTTTCGATCAGATGCTATTCGAACAATTGTCCGGAACCCGTACTCATTTATAGAGGGCCTGCCAGCTGTGGTATGCAACTACGCGAGCTTTTATAGGTACTTCGACTTTCCTTGGATAGTTACGCATCCAAGTACTAACTGCGAGCTACCCTGCTTGACTGCAGATATCGATAAACAATAGTGAACCTGCCAAGCCGAGTCGCTGTGCTAGAAGATTTATTGTATAAGTAGCTATATTCAATATATGATTTTCTATAAGGGTTAAACATTTTGTTTTTTCCACATTTAGACACAAATAGTTGGCGTCGCTCCATGCTTTGATTTTCTTAATGTCACAAAATAGTGTTATAAATAACGCAGGGGTCATTGCTGTGCAATAAAACCGTAGTGTCGTCAGCAAATAGAGTGAAAGTACTTGCAATCTTAAGTTGTGTTAATTATTTGTACACTGTGTTCTATAAAGTTGAGCCCATATGGGATTTTTTTAATATTACGATTTGAAAAACTTCCTAGTGCAATCGCCTCTGCTCTTTTAAAAACAGTCCATATCAAAGTTGGCTACTGACATTAGATTTCTGTCAAATTGGCATTTAAAAAAATTAGAACAATTTTAAGAAAATACTGTATTTGACCGATAACTAATGCAGTATATAGTCAATTTTAATATGGGCTCTTGTGAGCTTTTAAAAAATCAAAGTTGAATGTCCTACGACGTTTTTTTCCAATAGTAATGTTAAACTTTATGGAACTTCACTATATAAAGAAGCAGTAAACTCAACACAGAACCCTGTGCAACTCTCCAACTTTCATCTAAAACTTGAGCGTTCACTTTCATCTAAAACTTGAGAGTTCTTAGTAGTTTTTGCAATTTTCTTACGTTCTGAAAGATAAGATTTTATCAGCGCTTCGTCTTTGATTCCGTAAACTCAAAGTTTTTGCAAAAATACTGTATGATTGACACAATGACGTAATATCTCCACTAGAGTTTCAATTTAGAGTAAGCAAGTTCAACGTAAGAAAATATCCTATTAAAAAAAAGACGGACAGAGG